AGGTAAGCATGGCCCTTATCTGTTCAAGACATTGCTTTCCTCCACACTTCAAGCCCTTAGAAAACACACTGCACTTGATTCCTTATTCAGGATGTGATTTTTAATTTGGCAGTAATTTTTTTAAGTTTTGTTTTATGAGTATGGATTCATTATTATTTGTAACTTGCTCTGTGTGCCTCAGTGACTCCAAGGCCTTTGTCTCTTTGCCTTTTAGAGCATTGTTTTGTTTCTAGAACCTAATCTTTATTTTTAATTATTAATATGAACATACGGAAAATTACTGTTTTATATTGCTATAAAAGTTTTTAAATGCTTACTCTCAATCTCTGTACTCATCTCTCTGGTAACAGTTCATGCTGTTACTGCAGTTCAAAGGCCCTTTTTTTCCTCCCGAAAGTTTATTTAAGCAGTCTGGGTGTGGCCATGGGTTAAGTATTGGACTGCTAACTGCCAGGTAGGTGGTTAAAAGAACCACCAGGGGCTCTTGGGACTGGGGGGGCTGGGAGATGAAGCTGTCTGCTCCCAGATGTACAACCTCAGAGACCCTCTAATGCATTGCTGTGATTTGGAACTGACTTGATGGCAGTGGGTTTTAAATTTTCTTTTGTTGAAAATACAGCTGGCACAATATAATTACCAGTTCAAGAGCTTCTTGGTGTACATACAATTCACTAAGTTGTATAATTGTTCTTTAGTCTCCTAGTCCAAGTGGGTCCTCATTAACATAAGCTTACTGCTGTCTTAGATTCTTGTCAAACCTTTTGAGTTGCTGGTGTCAATTTGACCCCATATAGTTCTTAAGAGCCCAATGCTCAAAGGAGACAGGTTTTACTAGTTCAACTAAACTACTGTTCCATTTGAGAGTATGTTTTTAGCATTTAGAGATTATCTCGGGCAGTAGTTTGCAGGTTCATCCGTCTTCTGTGATTCCAGACTAGAAGCCATGAGAATTTGGTGGTGTAGGTGAGGTCAGTATTTGCCCTTCTGTGATTGTTTTACCACATTCAGCCTAATGTCTTTAAGCTCTATCCATCTTCAGTTCTCCATTCGTTTATCTCACTGTCAAGTTTTAAGGACTTTATGGTATGTGTGTACCACATTTTAGTCATCCGTTCATTTTTTGGTTGACTTCTCGTGCTCTGACTATTGTGAATAGTACTGCAGTTAACATTGGTGGACAGGTCTCTCTCACGAGCCTCTGCTTGCAAGTCTTGCTTATTTATCTAAGAGTGCAGTTATTGGGGCCTATAATACAGTGGTTCTGTTTTGGGTGGGTTTTCTTTTTAGGAACCACTGCCCTGTTTTCAACAAGAGCTTAACCATTTTGCATGCCCACCAGCAGTGGATAAGGAAGGTTCTTCTTTCCTTGTGTCTTTGCCAACATTGGTTACTTTCTGTCATCTTGGCTATCCTCCTGAAAAAACTCACTGCCATTGGGTCAATGCCCACACAGCCACCTCCAATCGCCCAGGAGTTTCTGAGGCTGTAACTGTTTACAGGAGTAGAGAGCCCCATCTTTCTCCCATGGAACACGTTGCTGGTGGTTTAAAACTGTGAACCTTGCTGATTGCAGCCCAAAGGGTAACTACTATGCCACCAGGGTTCCTTTGGTTATGCAAATGGGAGTGAAATGGCATCTCATTATGGTTTTGATTTGCATCTTTCTCTGATGGCTGATGATGCTGTGCATCTTTTCATGTGATTGGTGACCATTTGACATCTTCTGTGGTGAAATATCTATTCGAGGTCTTTGCTCTTTTTATGATTGAGTTGTCTTTTAGGTTTTATGTATATTCTGCATATTCAATTCTTGACAGATAAGTGGTTTCTAATAACATTCTCCTACTTGACAGCTTGTCTTTTCACTTAAAAAAAATCATTTTGTTGGGGGCTCGTACAACTCTCATCACAATCCATACATGCATCTGTTGTGTCAAGCACATTTGTACAGTTGTTGCCATCATCATCTCAAAACATTTGCTTTCTACTTGAGTCCTCTGTATCAGCTCATTTTCCCCCTCCCTCTCCTCTCCTCTCCTCCCTCCTTCACAAACCCATGATAATTTATAAATTATTATTATTTTGTCATGTCTTACACTGTCCTACGTCTCCCTTCACCCACTTTTTTGTTGTCTGTTCCTGGGGGTGTGTGATGTTATATGTAGATCATTGTGATCGGTTCCCTCTTTCTCCTCCACCTTCCCCTTCCTCTGCCCTGGTGTCACTACTGTCACCACTGGTCCTGAGGAGTTTATCTGTCCTGGATTTCCTGTGTTTCTGGCTCTTATCTGTACCCATGTATGTGCTCTGGTCTAGTCAGATTTGTTAGGTAGAGTTGGAATCATGATAGTGTGGGGGGGGGGGAGTCGGAGAAGCACTAAAAGAACTAGAGGAAACTATGTTTCATTGGTACTATACTGTACCCGAATTGGCTTGTCTCCTCCCTGTGACCCTTCTGTAAAGGGATGTCCATTTGCCCACAGATGGGCTTTGGGTGTCCACTCCACACTCCCCCACCCCATTCACAGTGTTACGATGTTTTGTTCTTTGATGCCTGATACCTGATCCCTTCGACACCTTGTGATTACACAGGCTGGTTTGCTTCTTCCTAGTGGGTTTTGTTGCTTCTCAGCTAGATGGCTGCTTGTTTGCCTTTAAGACCCCAGATGAAGAAAAAAAAAGACCCCAGATGCTTTATCTTTTGATAGCCGGCCACCATCAACTTTCACATTTGCTTGTGCACTCATTTGTCTTCAGTGATCATATCAGGAAGGTGAGCATCATGGAATGTCACTTTAATAGAACAAAGTGTTCTTGCCTTAAGGGAGTACTTGAATAGAGGTCCATGTCCATCTACTACCTTAATACTAAACCTATAAATATATGCACATAGCTTTATTTCCCCATCATCATATATAAATATGTTTACATATGCACGTGCCTGTATTTAGACCTCCATAAATGCCTCCTAGTTCTTTCCACTTGTCCTACTATCATCTTCAGCCTTCATTTGCCCTTGATCAAGCCCTACCATGCCTTCTATACCCTCCTCACCATCAATTTTGGATCACTTGTTCCCTTGTTCCTGGGTTTGTTAACACCCACTTCCTTGCCCCCACCCCTTCCCGCCTCAAACTTTGGTCCTGTTGTTTTCTCCTCCAGATTGTTTATCCTGCCTATCTTATCTAGATGGACCTGCAGAGATAATAATACGCACAGAAAACAAGACAGCAAAACAAAGCAACAAAACCACCACCACAACAAAACCAATGACAAAAGAAGAAAAGCCTGTAAATAGTTCAAGGTCTGTTTGTTGACCTTTAGGAGTGTTTTCTGGTCAAGTCTGATGGGGTGCCACACCCTGGCCCCAACATCTATTTTTGGTATTCCCTGGGGACTTTGTTGTTTTGTTCTCCTTGCTGTTCTGTTGCACACCCTTAGTGTTTCGCCTCAGTGTGGTGGGGTCAGATCAGGTGCAATTTCTGCACTGTGTCTCCAGTGTTGTCCCTCTAGCGTTATGGGGACACCATGTCTCATAGTGGAGCTGGCCCTGTGGTCCTCTCTGTGCTTTGGCTGCTCTGAGTGGGAATATCATCCTCAGGCCTTGATGGTCCAGGATGTGCTCCACTCTCTCTTCCTCTCCCATCCCTTTGCCTCCTGTGTGCTCTGATCAGACATGTCCCTCTCCCTGAACTGTAGTTTCAGTGCTGTCCTCTGAAGTGAATTATTCTGTGGGGAGGGGGGCTGGCCCCCCAGTCTTCACTTTTTTAGTATTTTGTTTAACAAAGCTTTTATTTGGGGTGGGGAGTGCCCAATTTATTTTGCCTTTTGCTGTTTTGCTTGTTATATTAGGTAATCTGTTGAATGCTAGGTTTTTTATGGTTTGAATTTGCATATTTAGGTCTTTGATTCATTTTGGACATGTTTTGTGAGGAGGCATGGATCATATTTCATTTTTCTACACGTAGAAATTCAATTTTCCCAGTACTGTTTATTAAAGAGATTCTTTTCTCCCCACATCTTGGCATTGTTGGAGTTATTTCCTGTGCACAGGCTGTAAGGGTTTGTGTGCATTTCATAGACTTTATGCAGATGTATATTTCATGCTATCAAATTTAATTTACTCAAGGGTCTCATGAAAGCATCCTTATGGAATCTTAAAAAGGGCTGATCATCCTGACTTCTTGGGCTAGAGCTTTACCAGGGGATAGTCTAGAGCAGCAGTTCTCAAACTGTGGGTCGCGACCCCTTTGGGGGTCGACCAACCCTTTCACAGGGGTCGCCCAATTCATAACAGTGGCAAAATGACAGTGATGAAGTAGCAATTAAAATAATTTTATGGTTGGGGGTCACCACAACATGAGGAACTGTATTAAAGAGTCACAGCATTAGGAAGGTTGAGAACCACTGGTCTAGAGAAATAAACTATTTTATTGCTCTTGTTGAGCAAATTCTTATAAACATGATCTTTGCTAGCTTGTAGGTTTCTTTTATAATATTCATGAAGAAGCAGTTTACAAAACAAATCAAGAGAATAAATATGTCATGAATACATTTTCCTCCCCCCCCACCGCAGCTTCTATGAATGTATTTTCAATAACTGAAAAGCCCTCTGCCATTGAGTCAGCCCCACTTGGGATGGAACTGCTTCTTGGGATCTCCGAGGAGAGTAGATTGCCCTCACTGCCCTGGCTCCTGCAGAACAGCTGGTGGACATAAACCAATCGTGCCTGTGGCAATCCAGTGCTTAACCCACTGAGCCACCAGCCCCTTCCGTTAATGCTGGGAGTATTTTAAAATTGATTTGTTGGTGATGTTTTTATTAAAGCAAATAAAACAGTAGCTTCTAGTTGGAAACTTGTAGTTAGTTGTTACTGATCTGAACTACTGGATTTTTGTTATATTTTAGCAACATCTGTTTACGATGTTTTAAACAGTAAGTGAAAAGTTCATGTCAGCTTTGATTTTTTTCATTATGGAATTTATTTCTATTTAAACAGCACCTGCGGAACCTTCTCAAGAGGAACAGCCACTGTTGTGTGAAGGTAATTTTCTCTGATGTGATTCTTTAACAGCCTGATTGAAAAAACATGTTTGTGGTGGTTAAAGCTAGCTCATGCCTGGTAAATATGCATTGTATTCTCGATTTCTTGTCTAGGTTCAAATTCAGCTGTTAGCATGGAACTGTCAGAAGCTGTTGGTAAGAAAATTTCTGACCTCATTAATACAGTAAAATGTGACGTGTCAGTGTAAGCATTAATGGTTATTGCAGTGTCTGCAGTCAATTCTTTGCTACCAAGATCTAGAAAACAGAAAATTGGGTATAAGCAAGTTTGTGGTAAGTTTAGTCATTGCAGAGATAATAGAATTACTTGGAAGACGGCGACCAGGAACTTAAGTAATGGTATTCTTTCTTCCTTCTCTATGAGTATTAAAGTTGATTTATTGAAGTTACAGTGCTTGAAGAGGGAAGACTAGCCCTCTGTCCTTCTATACTTCTCCCGAACGCGCCGTAAACGTTCCTTTGTCTCCCACTGCCAAGGCATGGGGACAGTGGGGTAACTGGGCTGTTAGGAATGTTAGATCTCTTGTTGACATTCTGTTAGTCTCGAGAAAATGAGGCATTAATTACTCAGCTAGCAGGCTCTCAGTCTCTCAGTCAGAGCTCTCTGATGTCAGCAAGTAATCCAGCTTGACAGCCACTATCCATTTCTGTTGAGAAAGAGGTTTTCCAGCTTCCCTGTCGCTGAACAGGAAGAAATGGAGCCGAATGTGCCGCTTCCATTGGGTGTTATGAATAAGCCACAGGTTGTAAGGACACTAAGTGAAAATGGCTTCTTTTAGTAGAGAATGGAGAAACAGACATGTCTCCGGAAGAATCATGGGAACACAAAGAAGAGCTAAGTGAAGGGGAGCCAGGGCGTGGTTCCTCGGGTGATGGACGGCCGCCAGAGGAGAATGCCCAAGAAACGATGGAGGAAGAGGAGGAAATACCCAAACCGAAGTCTGTGGTGGCACCTCCTGGCGCTCCTAAAAAAGAGCATGTTAATGTTGTGTTCATCGGGCATGTCGGTAAGTTGCACGTATAGTGACTGAGAAATGGCCGCTTACTGGATTACTACAACAAATAGTTGATTTAGCTACATGAGGATGTTTAGTGGAAACCAAACTGAATCTAAAAGGCCTTGGGTTGTTTGGGTTTTGGTTATTTAAGTTTAATGTTAATTCCATCCTGTGCTTTAATAGAACAATACAGCTTCTGTATCTGTGGCTCCAATCAGGTATAATAAAATGCTTTGTTGTTGTTTTTTTGTTTAAGCTAACAAAAATCAGCCAGTACTTTCTGTTCTTGATTGTTGGGCAAATGAGCAATTCGGTAATGGCATGGAAGCTAGAAGACACTAAAATTCAGTATGAGTTGTATATAATGTAAAATTAGTCTGTGGCCCACCCATGGCAGTTAAGCATATTATGGACTCTCTTAATACCCTAGTGCACTTCTGTTAATCTGTGACTGAGGGGATTAACCTTACTGGGTAGCTTAATTTTGTGTTGTCAGACAGTGTTCATTTGGAGTAACTTGTGGATGTGTGTCAGGTGTGTTAGTGATGACCCATGTACCATCATCACGGTCATTGCTACATTTGAGCTCATTGCTGCAGCCACAGTATGGAGGAGACCACCTCCTCAAAGGCCTTTTTTTGCTGGCCCTCTACTCACCCAAGCATGATAGCCTTTTCTGGGGACTGGTCCTTCTGAAAACGTGTCCCAAGCACAGGAGACAGGTATTAATCAGCATCAGCCTCACTCACTTCCAAGGAGTGTGCCAGTTACTCTTTCCCAGTCAGATTTACGTATCCTTTTGGCAGTGCATGGTACTTCTCACATTCTTCATCAATACCGTAATTCAGAGGCGTCCGTCCTTCTCTGGTCCTCCTTATTCTTTGTCCAGCTTTTGTATGCATACAGCCAAAATTCACTGCTGAGTCAGTTCTGACTCACAGTGGCCATGTGGACAGAGTAGAACTGCCCCGATAGGTTTCCGAGGTAGTAATTTTCTTTTAATGTGTAATTTAATTTAACAATTTATTTTTTTTAGTCCAAGATTTCCCGAATGTGATTTTTCAATATAGCTGTGCAATCCCACCTCTTTCTCCCTCGGTGTGTCTCTGGGCTGTGGGTGGTTGCAGAGTTCTCGCAGTAATACAGGATTTACTACCATCAAGTGGTTTCTGATTCCTAGTGACCCTAGAGGAGACGTTGACACTGTCCCTGTGGATTTTTGAGATTGGCGATCTTGAGGGGAGTAGAAAGACTCAAATTTATTCTGTGGAGCTGCTTGTGGTTTCGAACTGCTGGACTTATGGTTGGCAGGACAACACATAACCCGTTCTACCACTAGGGTTCCTTTTTCAGTAATACAAGGAGGTTTCAAAACAGTGGCTTTTGAGAGCATTTCCTGGACCAGTTAAATTCAAGGCAGAGAGGTCAGCTCAGAAAGGGTGGGAGGTGGGGGACAGCTGTTTTGGAGGATCCCAAAGGCATAATCTTGACAGATCTTATTGTTCCCCCAAGTCAAAGAACATCGAAAGGGAACATGATTTTGAAGGTGCCGAAACCGCTGTAAGAGTACAAAATTCTTTGGGGAAAGGTTGAGAGATGGAACATTACCTGTAGAAGTGTGTAGACCTAGATTGAGGCCTTGTGGAGAAACAGTAGCTTTTACATTTTGATGTTTTTGTTTAATAATGGCTTTCTGTGGTTTTATAGCAATACTGTTTTACTTACCCTCATGTATGAGGGTATTTTTTATTGATTATTTTTAACCTTTGGTTTGCATGTTGTTAATTTTAGATGCTGGCAAGTCAACCATTGGAGGACAAATAATGTAAGTATATTGTTAACCCTTTCATGACAATGGTGTTCAGGCCTTGTTAAACATTCACATAAAGGAGTTAAGACAAGTTAAAATATGGTACTCCGTAAAGGGGGGAGGCTGATTTTAAGAAGTCGTTTTTTGCAGTGTGATGATTCTTAACTGTGTTAGTTGCATTTTGGGATTTCCCAAAAATTGTTTTGTTCTCACTGTCTGGCTCTCATGGAACAAGAATTATTTCTGAAAGCTGTCTTTTATGTCTTAAGAACAAACGAACAATAACCCAACAGCTTGGTTACAAGAAATCTTAGTCTGCTTGGAATGTCTTTTACAGATTTACTTGAGAAAACTGTAATCCAGCTCTTGAATCTAATTGAGAGGGGTGGGCTTCTCACCCCTGCCCATTTATCAGCTCTTAAATATATGTAGATATAACCAGACCAGTAAGCTGGCTAACAAACTAAAATCAATTTTTATCATTTATTGAAGCTGCTTAGGTGTGAAAATAACGTGGTTGGCCTTTAATGATGGACGGTAGTATCAGAAAATCTGTACTTCCAACGGCCCTGAATTTCCATTCGCTCCATACTCTAAACCAGACCCAGTTCACAGACTTGGTCATCAGTTGTGCTTGCATAAATCATCTCAGTTGTGATCTCGGCAGTGACTCCTGAAAATGTCGATAACAGAGGCCTTACACCGTGGGTAGACATGTAGGACCACTAGGTGGTGTGTTTCACGGGAATGCAGATTTTTGCTGATGATGACAGGGCAGTCTTCACTGGCATCTCCCCGGGTTCTGTACTCACATGCTGCAGGGCACCGCTGTGGGGGTGACTACACGAGACCACAGAGATGAGAACCCAAGGCAGGGCTGCTGTAACTAGGATAGGGTTGAAGTACAATAGTAAGACTTCATTGTCTGGAAAACTTTGTTCTACACCCTCCCCCATCTTTATAACATTTTAATTTATTTTTTAAAAAAAGCTTTCCGCTGATTCCGGGAACCCAAGAGGCAAGTGAATTTTGGGAATGATGAGGGCAACAAATGTATAGATTTGCTTGACACAATTGATCTATGTATTGTGATGAATTTTATGAGCCCCAATAAAGCGACCCAAATAAATAAATAAATAAATAAATAAACCACAAGCCACTCCAAGGGAAAAGAGGAGGCTTTCTACTCGCACAAAGAGTTAAAGTCTTCAAAATTTGCGAAGGCAGTTGTACCCCGTTCCACAGTGTTGCTATGAATCGGAATTAACTCGATGGCAGGCAGTGAGTTTGTTTTTGTGGTGTGATGGGTTTTGCTTTTGTTTTGGTTCTTTTTGGCTTGGTGGTATAGTGGGTTACACTTTGAATTACTTAACTGGATAGTCAGCAGTTTGAACCCACCAGCCACTTTGTAGGACAAAAATGAGGCTGTCTGCTCCCATAAAGAATTACAGCCTCAGGAGGCCTAAGGGGTGGGGGTCAAGGATTTCCACTCTATGGAATAAGATCACTATGCATTTGGATTGGCTTAATGGTAGCAGGTTGTTGGTTGGGGCTAAGTTCTTTTTAAGAATGTCCTTCAATTTGGCATTGAGTAATTTTTCTTGCAGTTAGATCAAGGTTGTGTAATTGAGGTAAGAAAACTACAAGGAGATGTGTACTTGGCTGCTCCTGTCAAGGGTACATGACAGTATATTCAAAATGACTTTTTTCTTGCTGGTGATGGGAATCAGGATTACTTGGTTATGGTGGTGCTATGGTTAAGTGTTTGGCTGCTAACCGAAAAGTCGGCAGTTTGAACCCAGAGAAAAGACCTGGGATCTGCTTCTGTAATAATCACAGTCTAGCAAAACAGTAGTTCTCTGTGATACAGCTGACTGATGGGCACGTAACAACCTGCTGCAGCTGTTACTGGTCAGATTCTTCCAAGAACAGATTTCTCTTTATGTTAGAGGAGATTTTTTTTTGGGGGGGGTGGTGGTGTGGATTTAAAAAAAAATCATTTTATTGGTGGCTCATACAACTCATCACAATCCATACATACATCAATTGTGTTAAGCACATTTGTACATTCATTGTCCTCATCATTCTCAAAATATTTGCTCTCCACTTAAGCCTCTGGCATCAGCTCCTCATTTTCCCCCTCCTTCCCCACTACCCCCCCTCCCTCATGAACCCTTGATATTTTATAAATTATTAGTTATATCTTACACTGTCCGACGTCTCCCTTCACCCACTTTTCTGCTGTCTGTCCCTCAGGGAGGAGATTATATGTAGAGATCCCTATAATTGGTTCCCCCTTTCTACCCCACCCTCCTGGTATCACCATTCTCACCACTGGTCATGATGGGATCATCCATCCTGTATTCCCTGTGTTTCTAGTTCCTATCTGTACCTCTGGTTTAGCCAGATTTATAAGGTAGAATTGGGATCATGAGAGTGGGGGCAGGGTGGTGGTGGGGAAGCATTTAGGTAATAGAGGAAAGTTGAATGTTTCATCGTTGCTATACTGTACCCTGACTGGCTCCTCTCCTCCCCGTGACCCTTCCATAAGGCAATGTTCAGTTGCCTACAGATGGACTTTGAGTCCCCACTCCACATTCCCCCTCATTCACAATGATAGGATTTTTTGTACCATCCCTGAAACCTGTTCCCATTGACACCTCATGATCACACAGGCTGGTGTGCTTCTTCCATGTGAGATTTGCTTCTGAGCTAGATGGCCGCTTGTTTACTTTCAAGCCTTTAAGACCC